TTTAAGCCAACCAAACATGGGAAAATTGGAAAATATTTTCCGGAAAATGTTTTCCTTCATACCAAACACACCCATAGTTCTTTATTTTTACATATATCTAGAGATGTGAGAAATTATAAAACTACATATTAAAGACACTAATCATGAAATTAAAATATACAACAAAGAAAACTAAATGAACAAATATACCTGAACAACGAAAAGAGCTCAACTTCGTACTGATAACGTATTAAGAAATGTAGCTCAAAGTAACAATATAAAACAAGAAAATAAGTAGAATAAGAGAAGAAGAGATAACTTTCTTATTTCATCAAGTGTCAAGTATATTCCATCTCACATTTCATGCCTCTATTTATACTATTACATATGAAGGTTACAAAATGATTGTCTTAAACATGACATTAACAATTGAGATCATGGGGGAAGATGTAGAAATGTAAAAAACCAACGTTGAGAATTTTCCTTTTTGTATTGAATTGATAATCTGCTGTACAGAGATGATGTATAAATACAAGGAAGAAAAGAATCTAGGGTAAAAACAGAAAAGCCAAGTGATATTCTATTACTGACTACTCTATAACTAATTTTTATTCTCTATAACTGAATAGAAGATAAATATAAAAGATAAATAATCACAAGTATAAAATGTAATGTATTCTGATCTTCTAGAAGAGTTAGCCTTCCAGTTGCTTCCAGCGATGGTCCAGTAATGAGCCCAATAGAAATGTCCCAGTAGAAAATAAGGCCCAAGTCCAAGTCTTCTTTACAAATCAAAGCATAAAACATATTAACACATTTCAGATAAAACAAAGTTAACCTTAGAAACATCAAACTACTTCTTCGTCTTCTCTAACTTTCTTAGAAATTAGGGTAACACCAACACCCCCCTCAAGTTGGAGGGGAAGGTACGAACACCCAACTTGCCCAATAGATTCCGATGACGAGGACCGGTGAGAGGTTTAGTGAAGAGATCTGTAAGCTGAGAATCAGATCTAACAAAAGAAAGAGAGATAAGCCCAGCAAGAAATTGTTGTCGCACAAAGTGACAGTCGATTTCGACATGCTTGGTGCGTTCATGGAACACGAGGTTCTTCGTGATATGAAGTGCGGCTTGACTATCAGAATGAAGAGGAACATGAAAAGAAATGAGGATGGACAGATCTTCAAAGAGGCGAACCAACCAAGTGAGCTCAGCTACTACCCGTCTCATGGAAAGGTATTCTGCCTCAGCAGAACTAAGAGAGATGTAAGTTTGTTTCTTGGACTTCCAAGAAATATGAGAAGAGCCTATGGATATGTAAAAATCACTGACTGATCGGCGGGATTCAGGACAAGTGCCCCAATCAGAGTCACAAAAAGCAAGGAGCTGAAATGAAGGTGAGGCAGACATAAAAAAACCAAGGCCTGGGTCTTTTAAAAGATAACAGAGTACTCGATAAGCAGCATCAAGATGTGGTTGGCGTGGGTCTTGCATGTATTGACTGAGGTGTTGGATGGTGAAAGACAGGTCAGGCCTGGTGTGGGTAAGATAATTATGCTTACCGAGAAGATGACGATATAAGGTCAGATCCTTCACAGGATCCCCTGTTTTGGTGAGCAATTTGATAGAAGAATCAAGAGGTGAGGAGGCAGGAGACAAATGCAAAGATGCAAATTCATGCAAAAGATCCAAAGTAAACTTTCTCTGGGATAGGATCAATCCTTGAGGTTCTCGAATGACTTCCATGCCAAGAAAAAAAATGCAAGAAACCAAGATCCTTAATTTTGAATTCCTGATTGAGAAACTCTTTTAAAACATGTAGTTCAGCATCATCATTACCTGTTAATAGAATGTCATCTACATATACCGCAACAATAGAGATAGAGGAACCTGTCTTTTTGAAGAATAATGAATAGTCATTCAAAGAGTGAGTGAAACCTTTAAAACTCAAGGTTGTAGTAACCTTGGCATACCACTGACAAGAAGCTTGTCAGAGTCCATACAGAGATTTCTTTAATTTGCATACATGATTAGGAGAAGGTGGTGTGATACTACCTGAAAATTTCATGTAGACTTATTAATTTAAATTCCCATGTAAAAAGGCATTATTCACATCTAATTGATAGAGTCCCCATCCCTTTTAACAGCTGCAGCAAGTATGCACCTTATTGTGGTCATCTTGACCACAGGGGAATATGTTTTATTAAAATCAATGCCTTCTTTCTGAATGTCTCCCCTTACAACCAACCTGGCCTTCAATCTTTCCACAGAACCATCAGAATGTTGTTTAATTTTGTAAACCCACTTACATGGCAAAGCCTTCTTCCCTGGTGGTAACTCTATCACATCCCAGGTCTTATTGAGCTCAAGAGCCTCAATCTCCTTTGCCATAGCATCCTGCCACCCTGAATGGAGTGCTTCCTATGTAAAACTAACAGGTTCATGAAGATTAGAAAGAGAGTTGAGCATATGTTGGTTGGTAGAAGATAGACCACTAAAAGAAAAAAAATGAGGTGTCACAGGAGTGAGGAACCAGGAAGTGCTCACATTTGTGAGATGTAGGGCATTGCAAATGTAATCCTTGAGATAGGCAGGAGGGTTGTGTGGCCTGGAAGACTTTCTGATGAGATTTTCTAAGTGAGGTTCAGTTCCAAAGGAAGGAAACATAGGAATAGGACTATGTGATGAAGATGAAGTTTCTAAGGTATAGTCAGAGGTAAGGTGTGTTGTAGGAAGATGAGATAACATAGATGAGGCAGTAGGAAGACTAGAGACTGGTGAGGTGAGTGGTGTGTTGGAGGCATGAGAAGAGGGAGCAACTGGTTTAAGTTCTGAAATAGGCACATGAGTAGGATGGAATTTAGTAGTAGGCAAAGTAGGATTAGAGGAAAGACTAGAACTAATTGTAGCAAAAGGGAAAAATTACTCATGAAACACAACATCCCTTGGGATGAAAGTTCTCATAGTTTTGAGATTAAGCAATTTATAGCATTTCTTACCATGTGGATACCCTAAGAAAACACAAGCTACAACCCTAGGTGCAAACTTGGTTCTGTGATATGAAGGAGTAGAAGCAAAACATAAACAACCAAAACACCTTAACATGGAGTAGTTTGGCTTGGTTCTGAAAAGTATCTCATAAGGTGTTTTAGATTGTAAAATTGTTGAAAGAAATTTGTTGATTAAATAGGTAGCAATGAGTAGACAATCCCCCCAATATGCTATGGGTAAGTGTGATTGGTATAACAAAGCCTTGTAAGTTTCTAACAAATGCTTATGCTTTCTCTCCACAACTCCATTTTGTTGTGGAGTATGTACACAAGTGGTTTGGTGTATAATTCATTGGGATTGAAAAAATTCTTATTGTATTTTGCCACTGCCTAACTCAAAAGCATTGTCTGTTCTAATAATTTGTACCTTTGTTTTAAATTGCCTTTCTACCATAACTAAGTAGGACTTGAGAACTGTAAAAGCATTAGATTTGGTACTTTATAAGTAAGTCCAAGTACCTCTAGTAAAATCATCTACAATGGTGAGGAAATAGGTAAAACCATCATAAGTAGGGGTGCTATAAGGTCCCTACGTATCCACATGTATCATTTCAAAAGTATTCTTGATTGATATAGAACTTGTGGGGAAAGGAAGCTTAGATTGTCTTGCCATAGGGCAAATAGCACAAGGACTAGAAAAACTAGAACAAGAATGAACATAATCTGATGAGATTTTCTTCATATTTCTCAAAGGTAAATGGCCTAATCTATAGTGCCATAACTTTTCTTTTACATTAGGATCAGAAAAGACAAAACAGGAATTAAAAACAACATTGGAATGTGCATTCCTTTTTGAAACAGAAAAACTACTAGACTTAGACAGATTCCTAGAGGCAATTGCTGAATGACTAGTTCTGAGAATGTAAAGCCCTCCCTCTTCTTTACCAATCTCCATAGGGCTCTTCAGTGAAGGGCCCTGCAACAGAATACAAGAATAAGGAGTGAATAAGACATACTTCTTGAGTTGTTTGCATAATTTATGTACAGATAAGAGGTTATATCTGAAAGATGGTATATACAAAACATCATGTAAAACCATATTAGGAAACAAAGAAACTGAACCTAAGTGTGTCACCTTAACTCTATAGGAATTTGGAAGCTTAACCATAAGGGGTTTAGGTAAGGCTTTATAGTGAATAAAGAATTCTTTGTTGAAACACATATGCTTTGTTGCTCCACTATCTAATATCCATGAATTGCTGTTAATTTGAATAAAACAAGCATAAGAATCAAAGAATTTTATCATACCAGCACAACTCATATTGGCTGAAGGTTCAGAGGTGCTTGCACTCTGTTGTCCCAACTTCACCCGTTGAAGAAGCTGCAGCAACTCTGCCACATTTTCTTGGGTAAGAGACTGAACATTTTCTGCAGTATTACATATTTGCACACTTTCTTCATTTGAGCTGAAAACATTACTTGCTTGCACCTGTCCTTTTCCTTGAAACTTTCCCTGATTTGTAAACTTGAAATCAGTTGGGAAACCATAAATTCTATAGCACTGATCAATGGTATGGCATGGTTTTTTACAGTAGGCACAAATACCAGTAGCCTTCTTAGAGTTGAAGAAACCATTCTGACCTCTGTTATCCTTGAACCTTTTGAAGTTTGTTGCCTGATTGTTATTTGCTGCCTAATTGTTAGCAATAAAAGAAGCTGATTCCCCGGGATAAGCTGGTGTAGCATGGATTTCTCTTTGTTTTTCATCTTGAATGACCAAGGAATAAGCTTGTCCTATAGAGGGTAAAGGGGAAGATAAGAGTATGTTGCTCCTTACCCCAATGAAGGTGTCATTTAGACCCATTAGGAATTGCAGAAGTCTTTCATCTTGATGTGCTTTGTGTGACTTATCCTTAGCCCCACACTTACAATCGCAGACACAAGCAAAGAATGTGTTAAGTGCACCAAGTTCATCCCAAAGACTTTTCATCTTAGTGAAGTAAGTAGACACACTTGTGTTCACTTGGACCACACCACTAAGTTCCCTTTGTAATTGAAACAGCTTTGCTCCATTTGTTTGACCAAATCTGTCCTCCAAGTCACTCCACAAGTCTTTTGCACCCTGGGAGCAGAGCACACTTTCAGCTATTTCTTTTGACAAGGAGTTCAACAGCCAAGAGAAGACCATATCATTGTTACGAGCCCAACCTTTTTGCAGTCCAGAATCTGCCTCAGGAACAACTAGGGATCAATCAATGAACCCTAGTTTGTTCTTAGCAAAGAGAGCAATCACAACAGCTCTCCTCCAACCTCCATAGCCTTTGCCATCAAAGACTGGAGAAACTAAGTTCATCCCTGATAATCTGAGGGATGAAGGTAATAAGGGTGAGCTGAGTCAACAATACCTGCTTTGAGAGAAGCTGCAGGTGCAGTGACTCGCGTAGTGGAAGAAGAATTGTCTGGGGTTTCAGTAGAACCCATTGCTGAGTGAATGAAGAAAGGAAAATGATGAAGATTATGTGATAGATTTTGAGATGTTCAGGAGCAGATTTAAACCTACTCTGATACCATGTAGAAATGTAAAGAAACCAACGTTGAGAACTTTCCTTTTTGTATTGAATTGATAATCTGCTGTATAGAGATGATGTATAAATACAAGGAAGAAAAGAATCTAGGGTAAAAACAGAAAAGCCAAGTGGCATTCTATTACTGACTACTCTATAACTAATATTTATTCTGTATAACTGAATAGAAGATAAATACAAAAGATAAATAATCACAAGTATAAAATGTAATGTATTCTGATCTTCTAGAAGAGTTGGCCTTCCAGTTGCTTCCAGCGATGGTCCAGTAATGAGCCTAATAGAAATGGCCCAGTAGAAAATAAGGCCCAAGTCCAAATCTTCTTTACATATCAAAGCATAAGACATATTAACACATTTCGGACAAAACAAAGCTAACCTTAGAAACATCAAACTACTTCTTCGTCTTCTCTAACTTTCTCAGAAATTAGGGTAACACCAACAGAAGATCAGGGGGAGAGGTTATGGAGGTGTGAGAGTTGCAATCATAATAGTGATGAGTAATGGGAGATTATTCACATCATGGATGAAAATAGTGGGAGTAGTGGACATCCACATTAACTATAGGTTTTACAACATAATAGTAATTCTTAATCATTTATTGTAACATTAACGTATATTTCCTTAGGAATTTGGAATTTTTAGGGGGGCAGTTCGTAGGACTAAGTGATCATTTAGTAATTTATATTTTATCAGCTCGTAGGACTACGTAGTGTGTGCCGGTGGTTATTTTAACTAGGTATGCAACATTTTCTAAGTTAAAACTAAATGAAAAACAAATTTAAACGAAAAGAGTGGTGTTAATTAAAATTAGAAAGAGTTGTGGGGCTTTATCAGAAGGGTTAACAGATAGTAATCAAAGATGGGAACAAAGCAATGATTCGTCCAGAATGCTTTGTCTCTAATCAAGTTTTGACTGTGTAACCATTTATGGTTAAAGCGTCAAGCTTTAGGCATTTTAGCTCTTATCTACTTGAGTTTGTCAAGAACTAAGGATCATGCTAATATATTATTTTTCCCACTAAAGGTAGAGATTAATTATAATAAATAAATAATTTGAGCAAAGGTGCGTAGGGGTGTACAAAGAAAACCGAAAAATCACACCAAACCGATAACCCGAGTCAAACCGAGAAAAAAAACCCGACTATGGTTTGGTGTTAGAAAAAAAACCCGACCATAATTGGTTTGATTTGATTTTAATTAAAAAAAGTCAAACCGAAACCAAACCAACCCGACATTACATGTATACAAATTTTAAAATATTTTATACATAATGTGACGACCCGACCCGTCATCACGTGAGTTACTGCCCTGTTTCTCCCATTTTATGCTTCTTCATGTTTCGTTATCGGTATTCGGTGTGTTAGAGTTAAATCGGATTGGTTTTGATAGGAAATGAGACACTTAGTCTCTTTAAGGAAGGCTTGTT